TGCTGTCGGTGCCAACAGGTAAAAGTAGAAAAGAAAACTGAATTTCTAAGGTCAGTAACAACAGACTGGCAACTTCTAAAGACCAATTGAAGCCTCAGCTAATAATTATGAAGATTAATACTCAATATATCCACCATCTCGTTTCTGTGTCTCTCAAAAAAGAAAAAAAGATTTGTAAACACAATGAAACAATCGCTCCTGTCTTGTGCGCAACGAGTCAAAAAATTCAGTCATTTGTTTACGATGCACCAGAAGTTATTCATCGAAACTGTTAGTCTTATCTTATCTGAGTATGTGTCGTACTAGTCTGATAATTTGTTTTCTCAACAAGTAGGTAATACATTCAAAGTCCAAACCACCCAGCAGATTAATCCAGTTATTAGCCTTAGCACAGGGCAAAGATACTTTCGATTAAAAGGGCGCGGAGCAGAGTTTATGCATGCGCTATTTAGTGTGATGAATGTGATCGATTGATTTCGTGATAAGGTGATGTGTCATCTCTATGGAACAGGTAAGAAGGAAAGGAACCTGACCGCCTCACTTGCTCAACTCGTCAATTAGTTTCAATCTATGAGCATTTGTAATCGCCACACTAAAATCTGCATTTCCATCTATCGCATTCATCTGCAGTTTACAGTCATAGCATATCTACCTACCGCTAATAGCAAATGTTGCGGGGAAGAGGATTTTCTGGCAGCGCCAAAACATCTTCCTGAAAATTTTCAAAGCAACGCATTTTCGAGGTCACCAACTGAGAAGTTTGCCTTCGTCTTCCACACCGAGTTCTTTTCCTTGTCCGCAACACACTGTTCACAAGTTACATTACCATTGCTGTGTTTCGTTAATGCGCGATATTGTGTGATTGTCAAAACGCTCGTCGATGTGATCATTTTGTGAGAAGTTCGAGAAGAGTCATCTGTTCGTCTTTCAGCAAACAGTTTTCAACGATTCTGGATTCGTCGAGAATGTCTTTCCTCAGATCTGTGAAGGTATTCATTGATCCGTTGATCTTCAATGTTTTTTTTTAAAATCATTCTGCGAAGGTGACAGTAATTGATTGGTTTGAGTACTGTGTATGTTTGAGGGTGCTGTTGCGATCGTGACCGGCGGTGCATCGGGTCTTGGCCAAGGTACGGTTGAGCATCTACTGAAGCATGGTGCGAAAGTGGCCATTCTTGATTTACCGACCTCGAAGGGTGCCGAATTAGCCGATAGATTGGGTGACGATTGCCTGTTTACACCTGCCAATGTTCGTTAAGTTACAGTATAGTTTATCAGTCATATTCTCGTATCATCACTGCAGTAGTGCTTTATTGAGTGGTTTGTTTATTTTGCAACTGATCATTGAAATCTTAGAGATGTTCATTGCTAGTTGAACGATTCAACTGAGGTGGTAACATATGGATATTTGAGGTGACATCAGTGAAAGATGTGAAATCAGCGATGGGCAATGTGAAAACGAAGTTTGGACGGTTGGATGTGGCTGTGAATTGTGCAGGCATATCGTTTGCGTTCAAGTTGTACAATATGAAGAAGAGAGTGATGTGCGATCTGGAGCAAGTTCGACGCACACTTGATGTTCGTTGTGCATTTGTTGTTTTATGCAGGCAGTGCTTATTGTGAGCATTTTGAAGGTGAACGTAATGGGAGCATTCAACGTTGTTGCACATGCGGTTGAGCTGTTCGCCGAGAACGAAAAAGACGATATGGGTCAGCGAGGTGTTATCATTAGTACAGCGTCAATCGCTGCATTCGATGGTCAGTCTGGACAGGTATCGATTCGATATCACTCTACTTATCAGTTCGGATCATTGTCTACGCATTCAATCGCGCATATCTGTTATTGAGCGGACTGAAGTTTTCATTGAGCGTTGATTTGTATCTGTCACTAAATATACGTACGTATTGTTGAGAGTCAATTACCTGGCCACTACAATCGTGTACGCTGTGAAAGTGGCCATTCTTTTAATTGTTCCATGTTGAGCGATCGATTCGTAATAATCTCCGAGAAGTTTCATCCTCGAGGAATTCTGTTTCAGTCGGCATATGCGGCATCAAAGGGTGCTATAGCCAGTATGACATTACCGCTAGCGCGTGACTTCGCAAACGACGGTATTCGTTTGGTTACAATTGCGCCCGGTATCTTTGAGACACCAATGATGGCTTCATTCCCGAAGAAAGTATGTAGACAAAGCCATATCGTTAATGTATTACATCTTTGTTCGTTACTTACGACAATTCTTCTGAACTCGAGGAATGACTTGATGAGGTAAATGCATTGCAGGTGAATGATTTTCTGAACGAATTGGTGCCTAACCCCAAGCGAATGGGTAAGCCGGAGGAATACGGAGCGCTAGTACGTCATATAATCGAGAATCGTTATTTGAATGGTGAAGTGATTCGCTTAGATGGTGCTCTTCGTATGCCTGCCTAATGAGTTGTTATAGTGATTAGTTATGCATTCGATTGATGAATACACTTGATTGTATTATGACCGCTTTCAGAGGAGCTTCTAGAACGAACTAACTGTTGATTTCTGCTTATGTTACTCTACCTCTTCGATAAGTTTATACGGCCACTTANATTAGAATGCTCTTCTCTCTTTGCATTTGTTATTCGTCCATCACCAGATTCGGTGGAACGTTTTTAAATGTAATGATGACTTATTCACTTTTCCATCATTTTCTACTGATATCTTCCACCTTTGATAATTTCACAATTTGAATCTTTTTATGCAGCTTACATATTATACAGATCTTATTATGTTGAATATATTTAAAATTCCTTTCGAATAATTGTTTTTTTGAAAACGCTCTCATCGCATTTTCACTCTCACAACCACACTAACAACAACGGAATTTTTGAGTTCACCTAATATATCATCAGATGGGGCTGATGAAAGTGGAATAAAAAGTGAAAGATATGAATGAATATGTCCATTCCAACTCTTAAATCACATATATCTTGTTATCGTTTGCTTTTTGATACGAATACGGGAAAACTGTTTCAAAAAAGAAACTTTTGATGAACGCCTTTATTCATTTATACGATAAAAACTCATTTAAAGCGATCAACTGATAACAACGGTTGAGGGAGAAAAAACAATTTTCATGATAACATACAACGCATAATATGATGAGATTTTTTTAAAAATTGCTGAATTGATAATTAAAACAATAATTGAAACGTGGGTCAGCCTCAAGAGGACAAGTGAAAGTATGAACAAATTTCTCATATCATATTCAACATCCATCGAAAATTGAAAACTGAAATTATGAAACGTCGGTACTTTGCGGTGATTTTCAATGATTTTTACGATTGTCTTTTGAGTCGCTTCATAATTTGCAAGTAAACGCAAGTACGAATACACACTGAAGATAGCATCAATGCAACATTCGAAAGACAAAGATTAATTTGAGGCAAATATTAATTACATGCTGTCGATTTGAACTACGAGTTCACAACATAATGGTCATCGTCCAGTGTTGTATAGATCAAACCCTCTGACGACAAATCGTCCAAATCTGCAGCGAAGGTCTTCGCATTGAATAAATGTTTGGGAATGTTGGCTCGAATCTGATCCACGCTCATTCCCACGTTCACGTCGGTCACATTTCGCTTCAAGCACTTGAAGATCTGCAAGTATTTGCAATGATCATAACTTTGAAATTTCTCTTCAGAAATAAGTTGTTTAAAAAAATAAGCTTCTCCAAAACTGCATAATGTACAGTCGAAATACTCATTCCCTGCGAAAGACTCTCATTTCCAAAGTAACTTCACGTGATTCACGTGTCTTAATCACAACATCAATAGTGCTGAACGTTAACAATGATAGCGACGAATTTCTCTTAGTTCAACCTCAATGTTCAGTCATCACCAGAACAAAAAAAGTATTCAGCAAGTACCATCCGCAATCGGTGGGCAACCGAATGCAGATATCGAACAACCGAATGCGTCATGATTTACCTCAGCTTTTTGTCCAGATAAGCCTCGACAATTCTCACTATCGTGGCCAACCGCTGCGTTTGGTCTGCTGATATCGGATGCGCCAAAGCCTCCAGCTTGTTTGTGGTCTTCACTGTGCACGTCGGGTGCACCTCCTCTCTTACTTTGAAGCATCGTTCCTGTCAGAAGTGTGCGATCACTAATATGCGACGCGTCCTGCAACCAGAATTGATACTTGATACTCCATTCGATGTTCTTCTGCTGAGTAATGATGAGCAAATCAGACCTTTTTGTAATAAAGTTTAGCAAGCTTCGCTTGCAACTTGAACGTTTCAATTTGTCGAGAGTCCTCCACTTCAAACAACTGAAAAAAATCCAGGTTAAAATCCAAAACCAAATTACCCATAAACATCTGGACAAGAACCTATATTTTTTAATCACATATCAGAGGGTCTTTGTATCAAAAAGTTGAGAAGTTTTATTTGATTTCATGTTTTCAAGAAAACATAATAATCAGACTAAGGTGCTGTAGAGTATTCGTAATAGAAATGTATACTTGTTAAATGGAAATAAATTGATCAAAGAAAGCAAAATTTTTGAGCAGTTCTTCAACAGATCCGTCAATTTTCCCATCAATCAATCAGAACTAACATCGAATGCGACGATGCTCAATTTATCATCGAAACTTCTTATTTTGCCCACAACCGAAACAAACGTATCCTCGACGAAAGCACTCGAAGTTGCCTTGTCTGTGTCAGCCTGAAATATTTTAAAAACAATAACGAGTGGATGCTCGGAGCAACAATGAGCCAATTCAAACAGTTTGGGTGGGTCAAACTGTCATACAAACCAACAAAAAATACACCGTGTTCAGCACAAATATGAGGGCAGTACAATATCGAAGTTTCATTGCCAGCTCAGTTCTGAATCTAAACACAAATTTGCCAAAGAATTAATGTTTCTCACCAAAAGAAACTCACCACTCCTTTGTAATAAACCACACCGAAACTAGCACTGTCATCGTCGAGATCGCCAACCATATAATTCACCTGCTGATGACTGCTATCGACCACAACCGATTTTATCTTGCCAACGACATATACCTGAACTGATTCACTCTCAAACTGCATCATTCACATTCAAATTCATAGGCACTTTCCGTTTCAGGAAAACTGGCTAAGTTTGTAGCTCCGATTGCTAAAATCAGGACGACATTTTGTTCGTATGCATTCGTGACTGAATTGGGAAGGAACGTAATCTCACACAAGCTACTCTAAAAATGCTTACAAACGAAATGTCGTCCTTAATTCAGCAAAATAAACAAACAAATATCGAATGTGGAATATCATAAATTTAAAAATCCAAGCGGAAGAGAATATAAGTGAGAAAGAACTACTCAGCAATGTGACTTAAGCGTGCAAAATCAGCCTGTTCAGTGACATCCACTAAACAAAGAATTAAGGACGCGACACAATCCAATAAAAATAAATTGCACGGAAAAACCACTACAAAACACAAATTGAAGAAAAATACCGTGGGGAATGACAATGCTCCGAGCTGAATGCGTTCTTGCCCAAGTTCCAATTGCGCTAGATCGGCGACAGCTACAGGCATCGGTATCTTGTCCAAATCTGATGCTCGTTTATCTGGATCCTGACTCGCAGAATCCTCTCCATCTCGATCAAACGCACTGTGTCGATCACCACGAGCCCATCCACCGGCACCATCCACATCGAAACTCTCGTTCCCAAAAGCCGACATCCTCCTCAACAGCGCTAGAGGTCTCACTGAAGATTCACAAACCTGATGAGTTGCTCAAACGAAAATAAACGCCGTAACGGACGTTCAATGGTATTTCCATCGTGAAAACATTGAAATGACAAACCAATCAGCTGAATTTACACCGAAAAAACATCCACAAATCAAGCACACGGTACATTACAGAAATCATCTCAATTTCTTATCATCTGCACTAAAGTTTCCCGCTTTACATATAAACTTCGGGATAGTGGCACTTCGCCAAGTACGAACGGACTGACAGCTCGCCAAGTGACGGAAGTGGGATTTTCATTTGATATGTGTTCAGAAATGTG